ATGCGTCAGTGATGATGGACAAAAAACAATATACCAAGATGGAATATATTCTACGAGACAGAACTACATATCGTATACTAAAGGACCCAACTATAAAGATCTATGGAATCATAAGTGACATGCTGAAAAATATGCATAGGAACTTATTGGTATGTTATGATTTACAATCCATATATACAAACATCTCTGGAGAAAATGAGTCAACGGCTCTGCTGGAAATCCTGGACCGAGAGGAGAATATCCTGGAAACAAAAAGGTTCATGAGGAAGTCGTTAAGAGGACTAATCAACTAGACAATAAGGGCAACCTATTTTACATTCAACGGGACCGTCTATGAACAAATATTTGGACTTCCCATACGATCGCCGCTCTCCTATTTTAGAATACCTACACATGAACATATTAGAAGAGAACTTCAAGATATTACAGCTACAACCAGCAGCGCTTATGCGGTACCTGGACGATTACTCCACATTTTGGTTACATGGAAGAGAAAAAGAGGAAAATTTAATCAAGTTTACAAACCAGCTTGATGAAAAAATTAAATTCACGATGGAAATAGAGGAAGGTGAGCAGTTACCCTTCCTGAATGTTGAAGTTATTCGCTCTAATGGGACGCTAAAGAAGAAATTGTTCAGAAGGAAGTATTATGTCGGGATAATATTCAATTTCTAATCCTATCGCAACTACTGGCTAAAGATAGGAATACTGAGGAGCATGAGCATTATAAGCCTATGTCCAACTGATGTGGAATTCTGGAATAAAGAATGGGACGAATTGACTAATATATTACTCTGCATCGGCTACCCAAGCGAAGTAATAAAAAGAAACATACGGACCGTGAAGAGCCGATGGCAGAACGGGACTACGAAAGAACGGTAAGGACGGAGAAGGATTCGCAAAAGTTGATATGCCTACCTTCCTGCAAACTAACTCATGTGGCCATGAGGGGAAAAACAACGCATTTTTATTCAGAAGTCGAAACGTCTCAGAATGTACCAAGTACATCGATTGATTCTGGGAATTATTATAACTACTATGGCCGAGGACTTCGGACAAGGTGACTTCTACTAAGTCGCCCTGGCAACAAATCCCAGATTAAAAAATGAGGTCAATCCATTTCTATTAATCGAATTGAGACGGCGACCATACCATTTAACTAAAGGCCTGTCTACATGTTAACAATTACATCTTTTTGAATTACACACTGATTTGATTCCCTCTATATGTAGTGGCGGAATTAAGTATAATTAAGCGCAGATATTTCGTCTTCTCTTTGTTACTTCCTTTACTCTGCTTATCAAGCATTAATTGTCCTTTATGGCAGGTATTTGTTATTTTTAGTTTATAATAATACATGGACACAATGGAGGCAAATAAATCCAATTTTGATGTTTAAGTTGCTCATTTTTAATTAGAATTCTTTTTCTCATCTAATTCTACTGCGCTATGCATTCTAAGAAAATATTCAATCACGATGCACTGCAGTTTCATCTATTTTTCACTCCCAACAGGAATCGGACTTATCATGAAATGTATTCGCCATATTTCGTTTAAGGTGATGAAGGACTGGTAGTGATTTTTACACATTTATATGAGTAGAGCCGACGTTTCCTTTGTCTTTCACATAGACTTGCTTTCCTAAAAGTTGTTCTCATCCAGGGTAGACTGCAGTTTCGACCTCGCATCGGTCTTATCAACATCCCCAGCGAGAGTAAAACCGTGATAGTCCAGAATGTGAGCTGGACATGTTAACCACTCGGCCACATTGCCACGGGTGCCCTTGAGTCACAGGGCAGACTTGAATTTCTAGGATGGCCAGGACTTATACCATATATTATTTGGTGTACGAAGAGGCGGAGCGCCTATGCCTCTACTGACGTTCGTAAAGTCACTGAATGACAATTGGCTCACCAAGGGTTTCAAATCCTAGTTTGACGTTAGTTTCCCTCTTTTTGAAATGCATCATAAAAATTATTCTTTGTTAGGATGTCAATATGCATTCTACTCTTAACTACAAAGATTTCTACCTTCATAAGCATTTAATCTTCTAGGTCTTTTATTAAATTCTTACTAAACACACTGTAAGAGAGGGGATATCCATTTTGAAAGACCTGGTTTATAAAAATCCTCTAAACTACTTATTATAAGTTAATTAATTAATTAATTGGTCGATAAGCTTAATCTAAATGCGGGCTGCCCTGTTTCATTAATGTTCTATTTTGAGCGATTTGAACTCAGAGTGACGTTCTCTAATCTCTTTTATTTTAACCTCCTTCCATTTACGAGGAGATCATCCTATGAATCCCTTCTAATCGCTTCTTTAAGCGAAATGAGAGGTACTATAACTTTATTATGGGATTATTCTAGAACCAATTTTCCTGCCCTTTTTGTTAATTTTTACTTGCTTAAATATGGCCTTTGTTTGGACTATCTCGCTTAGAAATTTCTATTTACCAGTTTGGTAAATAGCTGGACTCTATAATAATGACTCTTCAGCTGACAAGCCAAACCAACCCATGAGATTTATTTAACCTTTATTCATGACGCAAGCTGATATGGCTTTTATTTTTAATGTTCCACCTTACCTATATCGACTTTGATTCCATCTTATTCCAAAGTAAGCATTTAATATTTTATTAGAAACTCCATACTACTATAAGTAATAGTAATAATAGTCTTGAATATGTAACGATATTTTTAGTTTATGTACTTGAACCTTATTTGTCTTAGAGATTGTTTGACCTCGTTCTCACAAATTAGTCACATTGGTAGGAAGACTTAGAGGAACGTGCCTAGTCCGGAGTCCATTGTATGCGTGATCATTTCCAGAGTATGACCGTTGCCGTGGTACATTCCCAGACGTTTCGCCGGAATCGTAGTCGGCATCGTCAGTGAGTCTCGCCATTATTAGCACCACACAACAACTCGTCAAAGAGATAAGTGAAGCCAATCCTTTGACCAAACCTGTGTTAAACAGTTGTAGTATCCCTCCATCTTCCTTGGGCTATTCACCATTTCCTATATCCTCCTATCACACCCTCATTGTTACAATTTTTACCGTGCTTATTTGGATGTAGTGTTGTATGCTTCTTTGAGCGGCATTCATAAAAACCCTTCACAATCTACGCTGTCGTGACCAGGGCAAAATGAGAGATACCACATCTTTTAACACACGTTTAGTCAAAGGATCGGCTTCACTTGTCTCTTTTGACGAGTCGTTGTTTGGTGCTAAGAATGGCGATACGCAATGACGATTCCGACTACGATGCCGGTGAAACGTCTAGGAATGTACCACGTCCACGGTCCTACTCTGGAAATTATCATGCATACAATGTACTCCGGACTAGGTGTGTTCCTTTAAGTCTTTCTACAAATATTACAAAGTTGCGAAAACAAATTTAAACAGCCTCTATACAACGAAAGGAGACTGCGACTACACAAAAGACCACACCATCTTGGTCTTCATACCTTTTATTTGTCTTAGCTCGTTTATGCCAACTTAATGCCTGATAGCGTAATTACCTACAATGTCATAAGCAGACCTCATAAAGCCACTTTTTAAAAACATATATTCACCTTTCGATGTCTTTAACATGACATAAGAAAGCTCAGTACAAATTAATTAGTCATGGGACGGTGCACTAAAGAGTTATTGCGCACATTTTCTGTCGATTCCAAGTCAATTATCTTTCTTCTTCCTTTAAGGCTAATTCATTCTTCCTTCCAATTGAAGTTAAAGGTACAACGTCTTACAATTTACCTTGCCTACACTTTTTATTTTCCCTATCACATGCGAATATGATACCTTTACATAAACTACTACTTTCAAACTCCGCACATTGAATAGATTTTTGGCGTATATCTGTCAACTTTCCTACGCCTGTGAGCACGCCTCCTCAGTAGATTACTGCCATTTGCGTTGCGGGGGTTGTCTGCTCTGCAACCAACACAAAAGAGCCAACAGCTTTAAGCCGGAGTCTTCTAGCTTTGATCGCCAACATCTTGCTGCTCATTCTGCAGCTACTAAGTTGACTGGACCAGTTCTTTCTGAATCGAAGGAGACCCCATTAGCCAACGGACCATCCCAGGCGCTGGAGCCTGTTCGG